AGTGAATCTAAGTAAATGGGACAATAATAGTGTCCTTTGTATCATTTGTCTAATTTTAATATAAGCAGGACTTAAATTTACAGAATTAAGTATAGTCAAACTTTTGTATCTCAAACACTAATATGTCGAATACAGTGAATTGCCCCAGTAGTTTTTGAGCAGAAGTTGGAGTTGTGAAAAGTTTACAGACGTACAGAAGGATGGGGGCGGACAACGAGTGATCAGAAAATCTCACTTAATCTTTTGGCTCAGGTTAGCTAAAAATGAAATACGTCAAGACTATTTTGACAAATATTTACAGGAAGAAAGTATTCTTTTTTTCAAACGATATGATTTATCATCATACAAAAATAATTGAAATTGAAAAATACAAATTTTTCCGTGATACAATGAAATATGCTTTTTGGTTTAAATTCGTGAAAATTGTTTTGGTCGGTGTTTACTTTTTTCACTTTTAAAGATTTACGTATACTTAGCTTGTGTGTTTAACATGTAAACGAATGAGTTACCGAATTTACGAATTCTGGCCTTACCTAACACTTTTTGACAAAGGTGGTCACTTTTGGAAGTTCCTGTGTAAATGAACCTTGAACGATCTTGTCCAATAAGTACATACATAATGTGAATACATGTTTAGCTATGTTTAAAATATACAAAAATGAGCGAAAATTTCACGACAAAAAGAGTATTGAGGGAGGTATGATTATGTTGCATATCTCCTAGTCATATTACAGTATCCTTCATTGTTATAGATTGACTTTGATTTCCACAATTCAATATCCACCTGCAGCCAGTGTAATGCTCTATATCCATAACACCATATACATTCGTCGCTAACAAATCATGGACCTTAGTTTAATTTTTGTTGAGCTGACATTGAACGCAGTGTATGTCTGATGACCAAACAGATTGCAGACCTGTTTACACGTATATTGTTGCACCTTAATATTTTTTAATTAGATTTGCCAGTAAAATTTGGCATTTGCCAGTAAGATTTTACTTTTCATTGATTTTAAATATATTATAATAATATAAAACAAGTATACATTTCTGATTAACAGAACATCCCTTAGCAAAAACAAATGCTATATTTGCATTGATTTTTGATTTTATTTGTCTTGAAAATACATTGAACATTGGTTATGCATTTATTTTTGATTGAATCCAATTCAAAAATCTTCAGACCATTGATTTTGGAATGATTGAAATTTGATTTTTTCAATAAATGTTGTTTCAATGCATTTATTTTGCATTTATTTTGAATTTATATGATGTCATACCAATAACAAATTACACATGAAGTGATCTCTTTGGTAAATCCATGATTGAATTTGTATTTATTTTCTGAAGCATTGATTCAGAAATAAATGGTAGCTTTATCAGCTGTGTATATTGCTGGTTATATTAGTGCTGACCAGCTGTAAACATATCCAAGGAGAGGCTGATAAAAATCACGTGATTACTCTACGTCACTTTATCAGCCATTTCAAATTCTGCTGGCGCTGCATCCAGACAAGCTAGAAGCCTTGATGTACTTTGATAGAAATTATCAACATTTTGTTGTGTTCTTCCCTGTGGACTAAACTATTCATATTATATGGCAAAAATTCAGTTGTGTAGAATCTAAGAATGATGAAGACAGCTAGTGTTGTTTTGTGACAGACAAGTGATATTGAAGGTGATGAAAAGATGGTGCTGTTGAAGTAAGATGCCATTTATACAAATAATGGATACATTGTTTTCTCAGGAAGTAAGTTATTTCTTTTTTTCTCAAAATTTATTCTTAATCACTGTTTATAGCATTATTTTACCCATCATTACACACTCTGTGGAATTTCAGAGAGGGGGGACATGCCAAGTATTAAATTTCACTCTCCAAGGAAGTCTTATGTAAACAAAGATCGGGGCTTAATTTCCATCACATGCTTTCTGATCAGATTAAGTTAATCTATATGCTCTTTGTTTAAGCAACACTGCTGGTGTCCACTGCTGGGCAGATAGTGTAACTATAAACTAATTAGTCTACACTACAGAATTACTAATTATGCACCAAACCTCTAAACACCATGCAGTCTTGATTCTCATTTCTTTTTTATTTAAAAGATTCATTTATTTATCAAATGATAAATATCTTGAATGTGTTTTTTTTTCAGAGTATGTACATGCTCCAAGTGCAAAAATTTGAAGTAAGATCCTGTGCCACCGAAAGTATGTTCAATAAATTTAAAGCAGTCTATAGTTTAATGGAAATAAAAAGATTTAACTAATGCAGTTCCACAAAAACTACCAATAACAGTCCAGAAAGCATGAGAAAGTGAGAAACTTATTTGTTGAGTAAAATAAAAATAGAATTCAAGGAAGTGTACTTCAAATTGTGCCTTTGTGATATGTGATTAATGTATGGAACTATACTGTTATTGTGTCAGTGATTTTTGGGTTTTATTCATGTCTCACACACATTCAAGTGTAATATTTAATTAATAGGAAGTTAGTAATTCATTTACTTGAATTTATAACTGTACTGGTGTATTTTTAAGATAAGTATTCAAAATTTTGGTAAAGATACATGTGATGGATTATTAGTAATAATGTTTGCATTGAGCATGATGCTGGATATTGTTTGTTACCATATGTATTTATTCTATCTTACTCCTCAAGTTTCATAACATCACTTAAATGTTTTTATATGTATTACTTTAACATTTTTCTGTGATGTCACAATAATGCTAAGTGACATCAAATAAATGCTTCATACTGTATTTCATTTGTTTTGCATTGATTTTGCATTTTTCCGTGATGTCAATTTAATCCTTCATCTCATTTACATATTTCGCAAAAATCCAGCCAATTTCAATCAAAAGTCAATGCAAAATAAATCAAAATCCAATGTTCAATGCTATTTCAATGCTTTTTTCCCATACAATTTAGCAAGGAGGCACAGTTGATTTCTTTGCAAATCAAAAAACAATGAAAATCCAATGCTCAGAAAACAACTACAAAATAAATCAAAATTCAATCAATTTGATTTTGCTAAGGGATGGTTTAATAAAAGAGACAAAATATGCCTAAAAACATTCACGAATGTATACAAGCCACTGCGTTTTGGCAACCTGAGATTTCTTAGGTGTTAAAAATATTTCTTTTTTTCACAGTAAGAAAACAATCAAACTGAGACAGAGAATAACAAAAACTTCTGTTTAACGTTTTTTATCCCATCTCTGATATTTCAGAGGTCCGAGTTGCTCTGCTCCTATTTTGTATTGTTTTATAGACTTTGATAGTGAATACTGTTCGTTATCTCCATATCCTACTACCAATACGGCAGATTTATTTTTGACTTCAAAGCTGTACAAAAATACGGCGAAATCTTAAGATTAAACAGGGTTAAGATTGTTTAAATTTCCCAGGCTGGGTAATACGGTGGTTTACCTATGTCTTTCTACACCTAAATACATAAGAATATCCATCTGTATGTCACCAAGACAGTGTTTTACAGAGAGAACAGGGTAATTCAGAGGAAGCACGGTATTCTGCCAATGTATAGGTAGATAAAAAATTCTATTTCTGAGCACCAATGAAAAATTTGTCACAATTAAGATACAATATTTAAATACAAACTAGAATCAAGTGCATCCAACTTTTCCCTCTTATTAATGTAATGTATCTGATGTAACAAACATTTAGAAACTAGTATATGTATACAAATGAAAAAAACAGAGACATGGTCAATTGTACATTTTTTATTATACAGTACTTAAATAAAAAATAAATAGGTAGAAAATATTTTTCTTTTGAGGAATACACCATCAAATTAAATACATGTATAACATAACATGGACGTAAACACAATCAGCTGACTGTACGATATAGTAATTTATACTTCATGTGTAGCTCTTTGTTTTAGCTTAATTCACTTCGATAAAAATATGTGATAAAAAAAAAATCTAGTAAGTTCAACAAAACAAAGTATGTTTAACGAGGCCGAGTCTAATTCAAGTGCACATCACTTTGTGCAGCTTTTTAATTTCATGCAGTCATTAATTATTTTAATTTTAATACAAAATTAACATTATTTGTAACTCCTACTGATCTGAAAATGTGATTTTACGACAATTATTGGAAAAAGAACGTAGAAATGCCTCTAACAACGTCACCATAGATATGTATTTTTACCGTAATATGACAATTTTAGAGTTATTTGGCTTCGACCTAGACGAATCGACATGGTGAATTTTTTTGAAATTTTACAATTTGGTGACCTTTTACATTTACTTTCATTTACTTGAATGAAAAAGAAATCCCTAGGGAAGAAGTACAAAAAATATTGAAAAAATGTAATAATTTGGCGATTTTCCAACAAATTACCATAGGGTCCAATAGTAAAGTTTGACAACATTTAAGATGGCCCACTAAGAAAACGGGGTGGTAAACATTCGATATTTTAATCCTAAAATAATAAATATAACAGTAAAAATTATTTATCAAAAAATTATCAAAATCCCTAGGGCAGAAATAATTAGACTCGGCCTCGTTAAATATACTTTTAAGTAAATTAATAACATATGTTGGATTTTTAAAATTTTTAATCAGTGTAAGATGATTTTAATTTCTTTCCATAATACAAAATATGCATACAACTTCACTGTCTTCAACTGTCTCATTTTCAATTCAAAGTGATATAATTATTTTGGTGATGTTCTAAATCACAAAAAATGTGTACAACAAAAATACCAGTTTTCATCATCTTTAATTTGACACAAACAGGAAGTTATCCATAAAAACTTACTTCTTTAGACTTTTTTCTTTTGATTCATAGGATAAAAATGTACAATATAATGCACCATCAAAACTACATGACTGTATATTCAACAGCATCTGTGTCCACATTGAAATAAAAGGTTTTACAATCCTACAGCTGATACATTCTGCTAGGAGTAGGTGTTTAATGCACCATCAGAATCCTGTTGAACTGTATGTATCTACTTTATAATGATTAAAAAAATTAAAAATCCTATAACTGCTACACCATGCTAGGAGTAGGTGTTACTAGTCCTGACAGGTAAAACCACACCCTGTTTCTGTAACAGTCTTAACACATCCAATATGGCGTCCAGCTCCACTCGGAATCTCTGGATCTCTTGGTTCTTCACCTCCACGACCTGTTTCCATTTTGCCGCCTGCTGTTCTAACTCTTTAGTGTGGGAGTCCTTGGATTTCTGTATCACCTGCTGTAGTTCTCTCTCACGGTTCTCGTGCTTCTTCTCTATACCCAGGATCTTGTCCTCTATTTGTTCAAAATGTTTCATCCCCTGGAAATAGAAAAAAAAATAGTTGTCAATTTTTCCTAGCTTATATTGTGAAATGTAAGATTGCTTGGATTAATCATTGCTCCCTTCATAAACAACACATTATTTACAAAAGGATTGGTTATAGAAGAGTGGTACTTTACAAAACACTTACAGGAAATTGATACTTTTGCCAATATACTTCCAGCAGAGTGGTACTTTTTACACTAAACTTACAGGAGAGTGGTACTTTTGACACTTACAGGAGAGTAGTACTTTTCACACTACACTTACAGGAGAGTGGTACTTTTTACACTTACAGGAGAGTGGTACTTTTTACACTTACAGGAGAGTGGTACTTTTCGCAGTACACTTCCAGGAGAGTGGCACTTAATTTTGACACTTACAGGAAAGTGGTACTTTTGACACAACACTTACAGGAGAGTGGTACTTTTGACACAACACTTACAGGAAAGTGGTACTTTTTTTTACACTGACAGGAGAGTGGTACTTTTTTACACTGACAGGAGAGTGGTACTTTTTTACACTTACAGGGGAGTGGTACTTTTTACACTTACAGGAGACTGGTACTTCTTACACTTACAGAAGAGTTGTACATTTCACACTTCATGTACATGCACTTACAGGAAAGTGGTACTTTTTACACTTACAGGAGAGTGGTACTTTTTACACTACACTTACAGGAGAGTGGTACTTTTTACAATACACTTACAGGAGAGTGGTACTTTTTACAATACACTTACAGGAGAGTGGTACTTTTTGGCGTCCCTGAGTTCCTCCTGTAACTTCTCTATACGTGTCACGTGACTAGCCTCCTTAATCTTCAGGACAGACAACTGTTCTAGTTCTACCTGGGCTGTGGACAACTGTTCCCTCAGATGTTGGATCATCACCTGTAGACACAAATTACATTACATTTTTTCAAATTTAAGTTTTCGATGCAATAAGTTCGTATCTTGTGGGTCAATTTTTTTTTCATTTCCTGAGATGCTTTGAACGTTTGAAACAGAACTGTTTAAACTATAGACTTATTACCTCCTGGGCATTGACTTTACTGTGGAGCTGGGCTGTTTTAGAAGCAGACAGTTCTAAGGCTTGTTCTGTCTGTTTATACTATAGAATTATTACCTCCTGGGCATTGACTTTACTGTGAAGCTGAGCCGTTTTAGAAGCAGACAGTTCTAAGGCTTGTTCTGTCTGTTTATACTACAGAATTATTACCTCCTGAGCATTGACTTTACTGTGGAGCTGAGCTGTTTTAGAGGCAGATAGTTCTAAGGCTTGTTCTGCCAGCATCTGTTGTAGTTCCTTCTGGTGAGATTGACATAGAGCCTCAATCTGAAATCAAGGAGGAGATAATTACATCGTTAAAAGTACATAGATTTCATCTTTGTGTTTTGTTGAAATGAGGTTGAAAAAAATCACAA